TATAGTTTTTTTTTTTATTGTTTTTTTTTTTTTTTTTAATTGCAGTTGTACCTCTTATTTGTATTCATTACTGTCCTTGTAGTGCTGCAACGACTGAATTTCCCCGCTGGAGATCAATCAAGATGTATTTTATCTATTTTTATGACTAAACACCAAACAAAAGAGGCAGTTTAATAACCTCTCTCATATAACTAAAGGGTGAGTGAATGTCTTGTTGAAATAATAAAAGAATATTAATTAGAAACCAAATTAAAATAAAATAAAAATCCATAACAGAGAGAGCCCTTTTAAATTTTTATTTATTTATTTTTCTCTCGTACACGACCATAGAGATGATGCTGTACAGTTTGAAACTGTTTCCGGTCTCGTGCTCGCGGTCCATGACACAGCTCATCTGACAATAACAAAACACATGGCGCCCTCTAGTGGTGATGTGTGTGCCCTCCATGAAATTACTCCCTTCAGCTGTTGTTCAGGCCTGCTGACACACAGCGGAGCCATCTGGCCGTGGATAACTGAGTCCTGTACAGCCGAGCAGACTTGTTACACTGTGTAAAAGCTCATCAAGCACCATTAAATTGGCAATTTAATGTGAAGGACCAAAGTCAAATGAGGAGTGTGAAAGCATTACCCTATTGTCTGTGATGCTTGAAACTCGATTTTCAATTCCAATTTAAATCATGGATTGAGGGCTGAATAAATGAACGATACACCTGAACTCTCATCCAAGTCAGTAAAGACACTCAAGAACCCCAAATCTACCTCTGTAAAACTTTAAAATGAGGCTGCTCCAAGAGATGCTGCAGGGTTTTCTTACTGCCGATCAAGAAGCAAACTAAACTGACATCAAAGTCTTTAAAGAAGATAAATCAATTCCGACACAAGGACAGGATGGTGATGCAGAAGCATAGCGGTGAGAGATATTAGGCTACTAACAGCACCTACCAGTAAATTGAAGCTCTCTGGACCGAATGTGAATCAAACTGTGTGATATGAAGCAGTGAAATGATCATATAAAGTTCATGTTCATATTGGACTTTCACTTTCACTTTTTATAATCCTATGTACTCTATATTTTGAACACAGGTTTCAAGACAAACTTAGATCTTAAGCTTTGGCATAATGTATCATTGGCATGAAAGGTAAACAATACATCTTTACGTAAAATCATTCAATGATGTCAAATGAGCACGAGGTGAATTCTATTTACAATACATCCTTTTGGGATGAAGTCCTCCTCACAGATTCTTCATCATCATGGCCCATGTTCATATTGTTCTATTACACATGTATATTCTTGCATTAATGCCCATTTAAAGATCTAGTGTGTAAGATTTAGGGCGATTTAGTAGCGTCTAGCGGTTAGGACTGCAGATTGCAACCAGCTGAAACTTCTCCAGGTTAGTTTTTCATCAGCAGCCAAATTATCCACAGAGGTCACTTCCTTTCCAAAAGAAATGGACCAGGTGATTTAAACCTGTAAAACACTTAATAAAGCAGTTTCACATTTCAAAAATCAGTGTTTCTTCCCACAATAGTTGGCACATGTCAGGCGGCCCACCTGCCCAGCACTTGCAAACTTGTGCTCACCTATTTACTCTGATAACTGAATGTGTGCTCAACTTATTTCTGATCCAGACATTCAGGGTTTTTTACTGGGAACCGAACTGTCCGCAGAGGTTTCTTCCTCTCCAAAACAAACAGACCAGGTTATTTAAACCGGTAAAAAACTGAATATAGCAGTTTCATGTGAAAAAAAAAAATCAATCATTCAATCAATTGCAGGCGTCCCACTAACTGCTCTACTGAACAGCCCTATCTAGAACCAGTGTTTGGTTCATATGTTCTGGGCTACTGTAGAAACATAGCGGTGCAAAATGGAAATCTCTGTAGACGAGGACCTGCTCCCTCTGTAGATATACATACTGTAGGTATAAGGTAAAAAAACCCCACTATAATTCTTATTTTCAGGTGATTATACAATGGACAGGATCTCAAGGTGCAGCTGGGGGGACGAAGTGGTCCGGTTTGGTGACCTCAGAATTGTCTCTGCTTTTTGCAGATGATGTGGTTCTGTTGGCTTCATCATAATGTGACCTCCAGCATGCACTGGGGCGGTTTGCAGCTGAGTGTGAAGCAGTTGGGATCAGAGTCAGCACCTCCAAGTCTGAGACCATCGTTCTCTGCAGCAAAACGGTGGATTGCCCCCTCTGGGTTGGAAGTAAGTTACTGCCCCAAGCAAGGGAGTTCAAATATCTTGGGGTCTTGGTCACGAGTGAGGGTAGAATGAAGCGTGAGATGGATCAGCAGTCTGCAATGATGCAGGCACTGTGCGGAGCGGCGTGGTGAAAAGGAGCTGAGCTAGAAGACAAAGCTTTCGATTTAATGGTCCATCTACATCCTAACCCTCACCTACGGTCATGAGCTCTGGGTAATGACCGAAAGAATGAGGTCGCGGATACAAGATACAATCTCCTGCGAAGGGTGGCTGGGCTCAGCATTAGAGATAGGGTAAGAAACTCTGACATCTGGAGGGAGTTCAAAGTTGAGCGTTGCCTTTGCGTCAAAAGGGGTCAGTTGAGGTGGTTCGGGCATTCGATCAGGATGCCTCCTGGGCGCCTCCTGTTAGAGGTGTTCCGGGCGTGTCCCACTGGTAGGAGGCCCCGGGGCAGACCCAGAACATGCTGGAGGGATTTTATATCTCGTCTGGTGGAGGTGGAAAGCATTGCTAGGGAGAGGGATGTCTGGAATTCTTTGCTCAGCCTGCCACCCCTGTGAACCGGCTTCGGATAAGCCCTTAAAATGGATGGATGGAAGGTGATTATACATTAAAAATTATAATTATATTCCATTTCTGTCATTATATCTCCTTAAATCCGTCACATTGGATCTTTAACTTACCTACTATGGTTGCTCTAATGGCCATGGGGACTCAAGCATTAGCTGCAGTTGTAGCACTGTGCAGATTAACTGTTTTCCAAAAACATATATAAAAGCTTTTTGATTGAATGAAAGGAGAAAGCGACAACACCAGCGGCAGGTATTACAACCAGTCAAGGTCAAACCTCTCAGAAAGAGAGACCAGGTTTTATAATTGTTCCCTCAGTCTATTTGCCACATGTCAGGGACCAAACCTCCCAAAACACAACAAAATGCTTTTAAGGGAAACCCTCAGGGCTTTGGTACTCTTTGCAGTATTGCAAGCAGCCTAAAATAAACCCAATCTGACCTTATCACTGGGCAGACAAGGTCCAGGCAGGGGGAGGGAAGGAGGGAGAGGGATAATTCTTTATTCCAACGGGTCATTTTAGAAAAAAAAGAAAGAAAAGGAGCTCAGAAATGCGGCTGGTATGTCTGGATTGTTCCATATTTGATAAATAATTTCAGAAGGTCTGGAGACTATCAGCAGCACAGGCAGAACCCCTGACCCCTGAGCTTCACCAGCACAATGCGTGTGTATGTGTTGTGCATGACCGTGTGTGTTTGTGCATGTGTATTTACGCCCGTTGAACCCATTGTCTCCGCGTCTGTTATCATTATGCAGCAGTTTCCTCTGGCTGGGGTGAGGGAGAGACAGAGAAATAGGAATACACTCAATCATCAGACACTCAACAATGAAGAGTCTATAAAGTTGACAAGCTCATCACTCCTGAGGCCAATTCCACTGACTTTCAACAGAACATTTCTTATGCACTCTTTCATGTCTGGCATTTCCCTCCTCTCTTTTTTTCAACACACACACAAACACACACACACACACACACACATACACACACACACGTAGACTCCCACCCTGCTTATCTACCAAGCTGGTGCCCCAGACACAACCACAGTATGCAAACAAACAGCTGACGTCATGGGCACACATGCAAACACACACACACATACACAAGCCTTCCCATTTCTGGCCTGAAGTCACTGGGTTGGAATGCAATCAAAAATAGAGTGAGAGTGAAATGTGTGTATGTGGCGGCTATTTGTTTTTGCAACCAAGAGTGTGACACAGGGAGGGAGGGTAAAATGGACACGGAGAAGGAGGGAAGATGGGGGCACACAGTGGGGGGGGGGACAGGAGTGTGAGAGAGAGAGAGAGAGAGAGAGAGAGAGAGAGAGAGAGAGAGAGAAATCGTCTTACAGACACGGGGGCACACCTTTAGACGGTGACACACACTATCCACGCTCACAGACATGTACACACACTCGCACTGTCTGAGTCATCACCAGCAATCTCTTATCAAGGCCAAATAGGTAGCACATAGTAAATGCACTGTGCAGCACACACTGTACTGCAGGTGTGTACACTGCATAAGTTTAATGTTATACAATGTCGATTATTTACACATGATAACTTTTATTTACAATCCGATGATACCCAGGTTTGTTTGTTCCTGGGTGAACAAGAAAGTTCATTCAGTCGGCTCATATGGAAGAGACTTTTTAATGTGGATACA